TTACGTTCGTTATTCGCCCGACACACCGACAAGACGGACCCGTAGAGAGAGTGAAGGAATTGCCCGAGTGGAGTGTAAGCGGGACAGAAACCAGGGGGGCCGCGGGGGAGGTGGGGAGGTGGGAAAGGTGGGAGGGGAAGGAGAGAGCCGGAGACAAGAGAGAAAAGAGAGATCGACAGAAAAGGAATTGAGAATTTAACCACCATGAGAGTTGAGCGAATACCCCCCCTCGACCCCCCCCCCCCCAAATCCCACCACCAAAGAAAAGAGAGCCTATAGCATACAAATGAGGCGATAGCCACCAACGATGGGGGGTAACATACTTGACCATTACAACAAGACGAACCCCCACCCTGCTCCAAAGAAAGAGTGAGGAGAGGGATGTGGAGATAGACATACAGAGAGAACGGCCGACAGACTGACAGACAATTCACAGCTTTACGAACGAGCTCGCTAGCTTGTCAGAGTAGTAGAGTACTCACTCAACAGGATTCGACAAGACGACAACCGTAAAATAGATAAATCAATAAATTGGGGACTTGAGACCATGGAAATACTATGTGTACACAGTCGATTGTCATCAGCAAGGGGGGGGGGGAGGAGAGAGAGAGAGAGAGAGAGAGAGAGAGGAGTTTCAACCCTGCCTTTTGAAGTTTGGTCTCAAATATCAACCCGGATTGGCACAGCAACGTGTAAGGATCCGTCTTCGCTGTCTTCAGAGCACAGGAATGACGAAAGCGACGCTAAGCGGAGAGAATGAGCCTCGCTCCACTACTCGACACTCTACATGTACTTTGACGCCTTTCTGGACCAGGTGCGTTTGGAGGAGTGCAACATTTGCAATGCATCGGAACGACTGTGAGCTCCAGATACGTCTTAGAGTGTTGAGTAGTGGAGCGAGCCCAATGACAATCAACTCCACAATCTTCAACACACGTCCAAGGTAATTACCCCTTTGGGCATTTAACTCTTTGACGTTCCTGGCCGCAATTTCGACGGTTTTTTTAGCATAAATACCAGGTTCCCCGCCAGAATGACTTGTTACGATTTCCGTCAAAACACGCCAAAAAACTGTGGTCAGGAACGTCAAAGAGTTTAAATTCCCCCAAAATACCAATGAGCCTAGCTCGCTCAGTTGGTACACCCATATGAATTGTTGAAATACAGACCCAAGTTCTAATCCAGATGAATGGCATAAAGTTACAGTAATTCTGAATTACCTGGGGGCAGTCAGTTAAACGATGATATCTCTTTTTTTTTTTTTTTTTTTAAACGACGATATCTCAAGGCTGCCGCCCTTCTAAAAATAAAACTCCCAAAAATTGTCAGGGCTTACCGGATTGCTGCCACAATGATGATTTGATGATTTGCGTTAAAAAAACGCCGAAATTGCGGCCAGGAACGTCGAAGAGTTAAATGCCCAAAGGGGTAAGTAATTGAGCAGAAGTGAGAGTGCGGTAGGTACATTGCTGCTACACCAGCTATAACTTCAGACTTACCCCATGTGCGTGCCAGTGCTGACGACTTTCTGGTGTGTGTGTGTGTGTGTGTGTGTGTGTGTGTGTGTGTGTGTGTGTGTGTGTGTGTGTGTGTTTTAAAGGAACGAGCCTAACAGAAGATAAGATTACCAGTGTTGATGAGCTGAGAAGGTACTACCCTCTTCGCTCCGACAAAACGCACGGTCGTTATCGCTGTGTATGAAGAGACTGAAAGTTCCACCATTTACAGCTGTACCCAGACTGGAAGTTGCCCCAAATTCGCGGAAACGGTAGTCGAGGAGAAGGGGACCTAACACCCAGTCAATCCGTTCTCAATTAATCCTGTCTACACTCCCCCCTCGGCCCCCCCCCGTCCCGTTCTCCATTTATGCCCTTCCACTTGAGCATGTGCGAGAGAGTGAAAGCTGTATGTTTCTTTCGGGCAATTCCAATAACTACCAGCGCCTGTGCGTAGCGACCATGACAACACACACACACACACACACACACACACACACACACACACACACACACACACACACACACACACACACACACATACCAGCTCATCGGGCAAGTGAGTATGTGAACTGTAGCATCGAGACAAGCCTACATTTCTGCTGACGTTGCTAAAAAAAACAAAAGGATTAGAAACGACAATAATAAAAACATTAGCTGCTTAACACGTTCACCGCTGAGCTCGCGTCCTGGCATTCCCAGATGCTGACCGTCCCAGCATGCCTACGACGGTAGTAGTTGGACCCCTCCGTCCGAGCATAATAACATTCATATATTCGGACCCCTTCGTCCTAACATTCCTCCTACCGTAGTAGTCGTACCCCTTCGTCCTAACATTCCTCCTGGTAGTCGTGTACCCCTTCGTCCTAGCATTCCTAGCTGCTGCGCGTCGTAGCGTACCACGCTACTGCCCTGCAACTGCATTGACGGGATCACTTTTGCAAAACTCATGCACGCACAACTTCTGCCCCCCCCCAATATCAACACACCCAGAACGGTACCCCTCTTCCACACACCACATCGAGAAATCGGGACGAAAAAAAAAAAGGGAGATTCGATTACTACGATTAGTAAATCACCTAGTCTCTTCGTTAGCAAGCGCGGGGAGAGGTAACTTAACATTCCTACAGTTCATAGTCCTCCATAACGGACCACCACAAATCATCCCCACTGACGCCAAGAAAGTCGCATGTCCGCTCGTTCTGTTTCGGAAAACGAACCGCCGCTCTCTTCTTCTGAACACACAGCCAGTCTTCCGCTATCTCTTCTGTCTCCACTTTCCTCTTCCTCCTCCTCCTCCTCCTCCTCCTCCTCCTCTCCTCATGCTTCTCCTCCTCTCCTCCTGCTTCTCCTCGTCATCATCACATCAGCGACAACAACAATAGCATCGGGAGAAAGGTAGCAGCGTCTGTACAGCCTTGAGGCGAAGAAGCCGTCTGTTCTTGTGTGTGTATAAGTGCTGCACAGGGAACGAAGACAGAAAATAAGAACGTGCTGCACTGGGCGAGCCTTGCAGCGAAGAAAGCCCTCCGTTGTCAGAGTTGGGTGTGCAAAAGAAAACGTGCACTACCGGTAGGAGAGAGAAACCGAAAGCGAATGCGAGAGAGGCCAGAGGCTCTATCTCAAGGGCAGAACTCGACAGTGGGAATGCGACGAGCGTTTCCTGTGACAGTCTCCTCCTTCCTCATCGCCCCGCCAGAGCCACCGTCGTCATCATCATCCTCACCAGCCGCAGCCCATTGGGGAGGCCGACAGGTAGGTAGGGCGGTGGGGGAGGAGAGGGAGGTCATTTCTTTCTTCTGAGTGCTACCTCCTACGGTAGCTAGATGTCGCTGAGGCGATCTATGTGATCACCCACATATGGACACGCGTGCACTCGGACAAGCTCCAATAGCGCAGACAAGCTGCAAATGGAACAACACAAAAAGAGCTGCAAATGCAACAAACAAAAAGAACAAAATGAACAACCAGCTAGGGAGGGAGGGAGGGAGGGAGGGAGGGAGGG